CCTGTTACTTTCGCTGCTATCCAGAATCATCTTTGCAATCTTTTCCTCTACATCTCTGGAACTTTTCGGAGGCCTATAGAAAACTCCCAACAGGGTGACCTCTCCTTTCCTGGTTCTAACCTCAGCCCATACTACCTCAGTAGACGAGTTGTCATCAAACATCCTTTCTGCCACCGTAATACTGTCCTTGACTAACAATGCCACACCTCCCCCTCTTTTACCACCTTCCCTGATCTTACTGAAACATCTAAACCCCAGAACCTGCAACAACCATTCCTGTCCCTGCTCTATCCATGTCTCCGAAATGGCCACAACATCGAAGAGATGGTCCAGGTGAACTTAAGGTTGGGGTGGAAGGTGTTGGTGAAGTGAATGAACTGTTCGAGCTCCTCATGGGAGCACGAGGCGGCGCCGATACAGTCATCAATGTAACGGAGGAAGAGGTGGGGTTTAGGGCCAGTGTAGGTACGGAAGAGGGATTGTTCCACGTAACCTACAAAGAGGCAGGCGTAGCTTGGGCCTATGCGGGTACCCATGGCCACCCCCTTTGTCTGTAGGAAGTGGGAGGAATTGAAAGAGAAGTTGTTGAGGGTGAGGACAGGTTCAGCTAAGCGGATGAGGGTGTCAGTGGAGGGGGACTGGTCGGGCCTGCGGGACAGGAAGAAGCGGAGGGCCTTTAGGCCATCTGTATGGGGAATGCAGGTGTAGAGGGACTGGACGTCCATGGTAAAGCATCCAGCTCTGCACCTTGTTTTCTCTTTCACACATTGTTTTAGGGAAATCGCATGAACGCATCAGGAAAAACAGCTTCACTGCTTCGTCAGGGACTCAGAGATTTGTCGAGATCTACAGCACAGATAAAGGCCCACCAGTCAAAAACAGCTTCCTCATGAGTTTAATCCCATTTGCCAGCGCTTGGCTCATAGCCTTTATTACTTGGCATTGCAAGTGCACATCTAAATACTTCCTCAATGTGATGAGGGTTTGTACCTCTCCCATCCTGACAGGCAGTGAGTTCCAAGTTCCCCACCACCCTCTAGGGTGAAAACGATTTTTATCACATCACCTCTAAACCTCCTGTCCCTTCCCTTAAATCTATACCCCCCCAAACCCCATGCCCCACCACCCCTGGTCTTTGATGTCACCACCAAGTGGAAAGCTTTCTTCTTGTGCAGCCTGTTTATGCCCCTCATCATTGTATCCATCTCAATCATGTCCTCTTGTCAATCTCCTCTCTCCTAAGGAAAACAACCCCAGTCTGTCCAATCTCTCTATATCGCTGAAACTCTCCAGCCCAGGCAACATCCTGGTAAATCTCCCTCTACACCCTCTCCAGTGCTATCACATTCCCTCCGATAATGTGGATTGCAGAACCTGCACACAGTACTCCAGCTGTGGCAGAGCCAACATTTTATGCCATTCCAGCATTAGCTCCCTGCTCTTAAACTGTGTCCCACGTGCCTTCTGAACCACTTTATCGACGTATCCTGACACCTTGTGAGACCAGTATACATGCAAACGAAGGTCCCTCTGATCCTCAGTGCTTCCCAGGGTCTTACCGATCATCATGTATTCCCTTGCTTTATGGCCCGAACCTTAACCCTAACCCTAACCCTTGTCTCCTGCCCAACTGCATCACATCCTATTTATCTGGATCAAATTCTATTTGTCACTGACTGGCCCGTCTATATCCTCCTGTAGTCTAAGGTTGTCTTCCTCACTGTTTACCACCCAACCAATTTTTGTATTATCCATGATCCAACTGATCAAACCTCCTACATTCAAGTTTAAATCGTTCCTATAAACCACAAACAGCAAGGGCCCAGCTGTGGATCCCCACTGGACACAGCCCTCCAGTCACAAAAAGACCCCTTGACCATCACCCTCTGCTTCCTGCCACTCAGTCCATTCTGGATGCCGTGAGCAAAATTTCCTGGCATCTTGTGCGCTCTTAGTTTTGCTGTCAGGACCTCATCAAAAGCCTGGCTGAAGTCCATGTTGCCCATGTTGAAAGTAGTGCCCTCATAGACATCCCTGGCCAGCTCTTTGAAAAATTCAATCAATCAAATTGGTCAGACATGACCTCCCCTTCACAAAACCATGCTGGCTGTTCTTGATTAATCCCTGTTTCTCCAAATGCAGATTAATTCTGTCCCTCCGAATTGCTTCCAGCAGTTACCTCACCACTGAGGTTCAACTGACTGGCCTGTTGTTTCCTGGTTTATCCTTTGCTACCTTCTTGAATATGGCTCCCACGTTGGCAGTCCTCAAATCCTCAGCCATTTCTCATGTGGCCAGAGAGCAATTGAAAATGTTTACACGCAACCCTTCTTTTTCCTTCCTTGTCTCTCTCAAGAGCCTGGGATACATTTCATCTGGCCCTGTTGGTTCAATTACTTTTAAGCTTGCCTGATGACTTCTCTCTGCCCGTGCTTGCTTTTTCAATGATTCCACAGTCTTTCTCCCTGATTTCTATATCCATACTGCTCGGGCTCATCAAAGCCAAGGCTGCTTATCGTGAGTCAGGCACTTCCACCCACTTTGGCCTTGGCTCATTTGACCTGTAAATCAGAAGGTTGTGGGTTCAAGTCCTGCTCTGTACACTTAGGCTGACACTGCAGTGCATCCCAAAGAAGTGCTGACCTGCTGGAGGATCCCGCCCCCCACCCCCCTCACTTGGATAAAAATGATCCCATGCCATTACATCCTAGAACATTTGGGGGATTCTTCCCAGTGCCCCTGGTTAATATTTATCCTTTAAACGGAAGCACTTAATATGGCATCAATATCACATTGCTGTTTCTGGGAGCTTTTTGTGAAGAAACTGGCTGCTAACATTTCCTACTTTACAATAGTGACCACGCAAATATGAATTGGCTGGAAAGTAGTTTGGAACACACTAAGTAAGCAGTGACAGGCTCGAAAGAAATGCAGGCATGCCCTTTCTCCCCTTGATAAGTGTGTGGCCTGGATGGTTTTACTCAGCAACGATAAAAATCCGTTGGGAGGTTGCTCATAATCCCAAATCCCATTTTAAAATTCTTCTCTCCTGTCGGTTGAAGAAGAATGCTCTGAACAGGGGGTAGCAGCAATCGTAATAACTCTCTGCCTGGAGACATGCCTATGGGATCTGGTTGTCATGAGGAACGTAAGCCAAACTGAAGCCCTGTTGAAAATCAAGAGTCTACCTTCACGACTTGGAAGAGAAAAGGGACACAGAAGGAGTGAGGAAGAAAGCCAATTGCTGCCTGTGAAGACCAGGGTGAACTGTATCTGTGCAGAATGCTTGGAAGAGTTGCTTATCTGCTCAAAAGAATGAGGGCAAGGCTGGTGGAATTTCTGGACATTTAAAGGCCGAGGTGGGCCTTCTAGTGAAATTCAATTCTGGAATATTCAGATCATCTTATCAGGACAGTAGAAACTTTGACCAGGCACAGCAGGGATATGTGATCCAGCTGGAAGCTAAGACTGAATTCTGACTCAATTGTGTATTGCTCCAAATCTTTCGGAAGTGTGGAACTTGTAATAAGATTCCTGAATGTGTGACCCTTTTCTATAGTTTGGTGAATCAGATGCCTTTTCAGTAATGTTCATCAATGTTGATTTTAGTTTGTTCGTTACAGTAAAGGCTTGGAATGTGAAAAGTTGACTTTTTGTTATTTCCATTGGTTGCCGAGCAACACATCTCTTCCTAAAAGTTGTCAGTCTCCATAGGGATTGTAACAGAAGGAAGCAGCTGCCTCCTTCATTCAGGCAAACACAATAATGTTAGGATAATTGCACACTGCAATATTGCGAGAGAAAAGTCAGAGAGGTTGTTCCTTTCTCTAGTATGGCCTCAGTAGACACAAAGAAAGTGCTGACACTGCTGCAGAAGAAGCAAAAGGGATGAAATGGTAATCCTATCTCACTAATTTCCCAGAACAGTGAGGTACTGTTTCCCCATTATCCAGAAATTATACATAAATCGACATCAAGAAATGACAAAGTTGATCCTGTGATTCAGGTGGATAATATATTTTCATTTCAGAATTTGGATTTTTAAAATAGAGGCAGATGGATTTTGGTTTCAGGTCTGTAAAGATAACTTTTCTTTGGTTCAGAGGTCACAAATTCATTTGGAATAGTCATCTAAAGACATCATTTCCAAGAAACATCTGACACAATTCAGCACCTTGCAGGACACCAGAGGTGTTAATTATTAATATTTAGAGTGCTAAGTTTGACAGAAAAAAACAACAACAGATCACAGGCCACTAGTTTGACTTGAGTGTAGGAGAATCAAGTTTTCAGTTCATTAGAAAGATTTGAGACCTCACAAAACCTGTGTGGGTTTGTGTTGAAGTTTTCAGGTTGTCAGAACTGAAACAGATCAGCAGAACAGGGAAAAAGCTGTAAAACTATCTCAGCAGCAGTGAAGTGGGAAGAGTCTTCAATGAAAGAAATTAATGAGTTGAGAACAGAGTGATATTTTTCTGGGTTTGAGTATCTGTCAAGGATAATGCTAGGAAAAGGGTTAAAATTTTGTTTTGCTGCTTTGGTTTAGATCTTTCCAAATTGATATACATATAGCTTTTTTAATGACTCGTGGAGCAAACCTGCTTTCTTGTGTTAAAGAACATGTGAATAAGTTTGGTGATGAACAACTACAATTACCAAATGCAAGAATCAGACTGATGATCTGTCTCACCAGGGTGCACTCTGAAATCTGACTTGTCCACTATTTGCTTCAGCTGGGACCAAAACAATCCAAGAGAATTCTTCAATGTTGCATAGGTTCAAAAGGGGACAAATTGTTGTTTGGGAGAGTTGGGAGGGAGGGGGATTTAATATGGAAGTTGTGGCCAAGGTTAAGGTCAATGAACAGATTGATTTTGGGTCAAATAGTATTTTCTTATAAACATTGTGCCACTGATAGATAAGATGAGGAAGAGAAAAATGCCACGATTTTACTTCTCCACAGACAGTAAATCCCGACAGGTTATATTGCTTTTACTCACACAGTGGACTGTTGTGATGGTGACGAAGCTGGAGATGAAGCTCAGACCCTCATTCATACTGACCTGCAGGAAGACCGCTCTGTAAAAAGACAAACACATTTTTACATTAAACTCTCAGTCTGAACCGAGAGAGAAACAAATTCCTGAGGAAATGAAAGTGTTCTTGGAATTATTCAGATCACTTCAAAAGTTCGCACAGTTTGTGATGTGCAATCAATTGCTGCGTTTATTACAGATAAAGTGGGGACATAAAGAATTGAAACTAGATGTAAAACAGTCCTGAATTCCTTTGCATGCCTGAAAGGATAATAACGATTCAGAGAGAGCTTCAGATTGTGACAGTGAATCATGACACTGCTATCTCCTGACACATTGAAGAGCTGAACTACTGCATCCACCTTTCGGTGAAACACCACAGGGTCATCCCACAGGATCATAATCTGGCTTTGAGCTGAGCACAAACCAAGAGAGTCGTCATTTTCCTATGTTTTCCTTTGAGTACAACAAGTTGTGATGGGAGTGCTGACTCAAATGAATGTGGCAGAGCACTCTGTTCTATTATTGGGATCTTCTCAGCACAATCTGTGGGAGCAAAGCCCACACGCGCACACACACACACACAGTAACATACACACACACTAACATATACAGACACACACACACTAACACGTGTGCGTGCGCACACACACACTAACATACACAGTAACACACACACTAACATATACAGACACATACACACAGAGACACACACACACTAACACGTACATACACACACACACACACACACACACCACCAGTCAAGCAACAAGGAGTGGCTCCAGGACAGCTCTGTGAAAACAGCAATTTCCCTGGTCACCCTCTACCCTTCCTCTCGAATGCTCCCGCTACAAATTCTTTCCTGTCTTTTTTTCTCCTCACCCCTGTTTGGAGAGGTGAACAATAACTCTGCAACGCCAAACCATGCTAAAGGTTAGATTCTCACTCGTTGTTCACAGACAGGCTTTTTCCCAAATTACCGAGTAGCCAATCATCGGATAGAAGCACCACACAGGTGCCAGACAATGATCATCTCCAAAAAGAGAGAATCTAACCATCGCCCCATGGCATCCAGTGCCATTCCCATCACTGGATCTTTCACATCATCCTCGCGGTTCCCACTGACTCCAGGTTTTCGACTCCCCACTCATCGGGAGCACCCTTCCTGCATTTACCCTGTCTAGTCCTGTTAGAATTTTACAGGTTTCTCTGATATCCCCACTCATTCTTCTAAACTCCAGTGAACATCGTCCTAAGCGATCCAGTCTCTCTTCATACACCAATCCTACCATGCCAGGAATCAATCTGCATTCCATCCAGGCTGGGAACTTCCTCAGGTCAAGAGACCAAGACTGTACACAGTACTCGATGTGTGGTCTGTACCAAGGTCCCTCTAGATGCTTCAGCATTCTGACTTTGCGCATTTCTTCCCTGTCTCCTTCTGACTTCTCCAAATGGGCTCAGGGAGGTGAAGTGAGTCAAGCAGGATCCCACTGTGTCTGAGAATGGAGATATATCTTGCAGCCACAATTAGATTAGGAGACACAAGACAAGCCCCAGATAACTCAATTTTTGCCAGCTGACTTCTCAAACGCAGCTTCTCTGGCAATATTCACCTCTGCAAACAAGCCAGTTGCAATTCACCATTGACAATGAAAAGGGTTATTTGCCTGGGAAACATGCTAAACTCATCCCGTTGATATGCAGCACACCTGGACAGGCATTTTCCAATGCAAATCACAGGAGTAGGATCTTTTCCTTACCTTCTCCCTCACTCAGGACAGAATTGTCTTCACTTACAAAGAACAAGAGGTTGTACAGGAGTGAGTTATGGACTGGAATCTAATTGGGGGGTTTGGGATGGTTTATGTACAGAATAACAGATAGTGGGGGAGAGCATGTTACAGACTGGAATGTAATCATGAGGTTCAGATGGTTTATACATAGAATAACAGATACCTGGGAGTGAGCTACAGACTGGACTCTAAACAAGGGGTTGAGATTGGTTTACAAATAGAATAACTTATAGATGGGAGTGAGTGACAGACTGGAATATAATCGAGGGGTTCAGATTGTTCATTTATAAAATAACAGATAGCACGAAGTGAGTTACAGATTAGAAACTAATCAAGGGTTTCAGATGGTTTATGTGCAGAATAACAGATTCTTGGGAGTGACTTTCAGACTGGAATCTAATTGAGGAGATTGGGGTGATTTATATACAGAATAACAGATCCCTGGGAATGAGTTACAGACTAAAATCTAATCGAGGGATTCAGGTTGGTTTATATATAGAATAACAGATATCTGAGAGTGAATTACAGACTGGAATGTAATTGATGGGATCAGGGTAGTTTCTGTATAGAATTATGGCTACCTGGGAGTCAGTCAGAGACTGGAGTGTAACCCAGGAGTTTTGATATAGTAACTGAATCCATGGTCGTCAACTTTCCAGTGAAATTCCTAAGTGGTAAGGTCTGTGCAATTGGAACAGACAGTTTAGAATTGATGGAATGTTTTGAACAAATTGAGGTCAAATGTTCTTGGCCGTCCCTTGAGCACGTATTGCAATTACAGATGAAGGCTGGTGGAACGGGCGAGAAATTAGACAGGAGCTTGTCATGGAGGGGTCGATACCTTGTGAACAGAAAGGGTCAGATTTCCTCGCCAGTGCTCCTCCTCCACCACCCTGTCCCAACCCAGCAGCATGCTGATTCTGCATGGTGTGGTCTGGTTAGCATCACAGAGCACCAGTGATCACAGTCCTGACACTCTCCCACATTTTCCAAGGTCTGCTAAGTTAATGGGACCAACTGGCGGCAATGTGGCCAGCTCTCAACTGCCCCCGGGGCAATCAGGGATGGGTAATAAACTGACAGTGACGCACCTATCGCATGAAGAAATGGTGAAGAGATTCACTTGGGGAATACTAACTTCCTTTGCAGATATCTGAGGAAATTTCCAGCCCCTTCCTCCTCAGGGCGAAGGACATCTGAGAGTGAAAGCCCTACACAAGAGGAGGCTTGGGGGGAGAAAATAAATTCTTGGATCAAGAAGATACGTTTTTTTTCTCCTAAGCTTCCCAGCGAGTGAACAGTCGTCTCAGTGGAGCTGTACAACTTTCCTCTTGCGAATGCCAGTTGTTCCATTTTAAGTTCAGAAAGGCAAAAAAAACCCCTGGCAGCCCATCACCAGTCGTGCCAGCTCTTTGGGTCATTATTGAAGCAGGTTGATCGATACAGAACACAAAAAAAAACCTTCTGTCACCAAACGGCAGATTATCACTTCCTCACTCACTCAGAAAACCATCCCTTCCACTTGAACTATGAATCCCCTCCACTGGAATCCAGCGCCCTCAGCTTGGAAGTTCGTACCTGGCTCCAGTTCAATGGAAATGATATGGAAATATGGGAAAGGTTAAATCTCTGCCAAGTCTGAACCTGGAAACACACACATTCACACTCACATTCGCACATATACATGTGCACACTCTCTCCCTCTCACACACACACAAATATATACATTTCTATACACACACACACTCACACATTTCCATATACACACACACACACACACACAAATATATACATGTACACACACATACACACAAACACACAGAGACACGCATGCATACACACACAGATACAGACACACACACAAATATATACATGTATACACACACACTCTCAAATTTCCATGTATACACTCACACACACATACAAATATATATGTACACACACACACAGACACTAACGTGTGCACACATGTGCACACACACACACACACACACACACACACATCTGCTGCTTAACCTCCTTCAAAGGGAACCTTGTAAGACAAAGACCCATCATAAAGTCACTCTCGCTCTCGGTTCACTTACTTTCCCAGGGAGGAAGGTTGGGGAGAGTTGGTGTAAGAGAATGGACTGGCAGCAGAATGGGAATGTAGCTGTGGAAGACGACACGAGGAGGCTGGGTGTTGGCGCAGGGTAGCCTGGGAGTGATTTTGACCCTTGCAGAGAACACTGAGGCAACGGGCGGATGTGGTCACAGAAAGGGAGAACTATGGGCGAGGGGCGTGATTGTATTTTACACAATATGCCCCAACCCCTCCACTGGCATTGGCACAACAGCAGGATCTAGGGGCTGGCGTGTAAAACAGGTCAGGGGCACCCATCCCACATTTCCCACCCAAACCTTTTACACACATACACCCCAATCCCTCCAGGACAATGGTCCGCTGAGCAATCTGGCACCAAACTCTGCCCACCTGCCTGCTAGACTTCAATCGCTCACTCGAGGTCTGCCCACTGACCAGGATAGCCATAATGGGGTTGGTGTGTGAGCCTTTTCACTACACGACCTCAAGTCAAAAGGAAAAGGAAGGGGCTGGCGCTGTCGTTCTGACCAAATTGGAGGCATGACTCCTGGTTCCCCCGCGCCCCCCAATCCCTTATCCACAGCTATCCGATGTTCCCAGGCACTCGGATCCCTCTGCTGCCTAAATGCCCAGGACTTCACTAGGTTGCCTGGCTGTAGATCTCCTGCCCGCAGTCCGAACACTGCCCAGTGCCCAGTCTGAAAATGTTCCTCCCACTTGCAACCACCTCAGGCCACCTGGAGGACGCAGGGGGAGCAAAAGGGGGTGACTGTTTCCGACTGAGGTCGCTTTGAGGTGGGGGTGGGGGGGAGAGTCAGTGACCCACCATCAACCCAAACCTGGTACTAGACAGCTGGCCCATCGCCCTCTCTCTCTGGGTGCAGCTTCGTGAGCAGCCCTTGGGGGATAATTGTCCATGGGGTTGGGGGTGGGAGGGGTGGTGGGTGTTGTTTCAGGGATATGTTGGGTTGGGGCAGGGGGGTTAGTCGTGCACCATGGCATGGAGAACAGAAAGCTCTTTGGAAGGACTTTGGGGCGAGTGTGGAGACGGGAGAGAAGCAGGACAGTCCTGATCAATGTGATTTGAGGCAGGCTCTTCTCTGTTCCCTCTCGGGAGCTGGTCGTTGCTGGCAACATTAGTGTTTGCTGCCTATTCCCCCCCCCAGTGTTTTTTTATTCATTCATGGGATGGCATTGCCGCTGGCTACGCAGCATTTCTTGCCCATCTTAATCGCCCAGAGGACAGTTGAGAGTCAGCCACATCGCTGTGGGTCTGGAGTCACATGTAGACCAGACCAGGTAAGGGTGGCAAACTTTCTTCCCTAAAAGATATTACTGGACCAGATAGGTTTTTTTTTAATGCCCTAACAATCATAATGGTTTCATGGGCATCATTAAGCTCTTAATTCCAGATTTTTTTATTAAGTCCAAATTCCACCATCTGGATTTGATCCCCAGAACATTACCTGGATCTCTGGATTAACAGTCCAGTGATAACACCACTTGGCCATCACCTCCTCTGTTTGCCCCTTTAATGGAGTGAAAGGGGCAGTCAAGAGTTAACTACTTGGGCCTGGAGTCACATGGATGGGCCAACAGATTCCCTCCTGTTGTGGACACTTTGAGGTTCCTTGTGGCAATCGAGAGAGGGTTCAAGGTCATGACAATTGACACCTGGCCTTCAAATCCAAACTTCCTTCACTGCCTTGGGACGCGAGATTTCTCTGCCTCCTGAATGAGACGTGTACGGTGGGGAAATTAGATCCAGAAGACATCATGGGGGAGCAGGCTTGACCCGCACTGCTAGGCCGTACACCAAGGAGATTGGAAGTGGCTGAAATATAATTAGTCCACCAATTCCGATCCTGTCACAACCTGCCACTGAACCACTTCCGATCCAACTATGCCCAGACATTCAACACAGAGGTGTCAGACCCCGTATCTACACCCTCCTGAAAGCTGCATTGGTTTTCCGTTGCATTGGAATGCCGGCAGAGTTTCTAATTAAGATATCGGAAGTCATTGGGAGGGCCAGCATTTCTTGCCTGTCACAAATGCCCCTGTGAGGGTTTCGGTGGGGGTGGTTTTAAGATGCCTCCTTGTCTACAATTAAGTGCCTCTTGGGCTGTTTCAGAGGGCAGCATATTGCAGAGAAGTCTGGAGTCAGATCCAAGTAAGTACGGCTGTTTTGTCTCAGACATCTCTTCGCCCCTGCCTCCCCCAAACCTCAATTCTCCAGCCAGGGGGAGCTAACCCCTGTGTCTACTCCACAAATCTGGCATCATCTATGGAGACAGAAACAGACAACATTTCAAGTGCAGTAGGACTCTTCTGCAGGACCTGAAGAAGGGTGGCTCAGTGGTTAGCACTTTTACCTCACACTGTCAGGGACCCAGGTTCAATTCCAGCTTCGGGTGACTGTGTGGAGTTTGCATGTTCTCTCTGTGTCTGTACGGGTTTCCTCTGGGTGCTCTGGTCTCCTCCCACAGTCCAAAGCCGTGCCAGTTAGGTGAATTGGCCATGCTAAATTGTCCCATAGCGTTCAGGGAAGCACAATCGAGGTTGGTTAGCCATGAGAAATTGTAGAGGGAGGTAGGTCTGGGTGGGATGTTCTTTGGAGGGTCAGTGTGGTCTTGAATGGCCTACTTCCACACTGTAGGGATTTTATGGAGTCATTCCAGACTCTGTTTCTCCCTGGCAGATCTGCAACCTTTTGCCCCCAGGGTCTACCTTCTATCTTCTGAAACATGTGTATTTCAATGAGATTGCCTCTCATCCTTCTAAACTGCAGAGAATACTGACCTGATTCATTCAGATAGTCCTCACAGCAAACCCCACTCTGTCAGGCAACTGATTGAGGGAACCCTTGTTGACTGACTTCTCATGGAAATCTATCTGCTTTTGGAGGGAGTCACGGGAGGGGAGGTTACTAACATAGTGCTAATGTCCGAAGCATCAGATTCACAGTCTGGGGAAATTGCACCGTACTAGATGGTGAAATTTGAATTCAACAATCACAAACAAAATCTAGAATTAACAAAAGAACTTACTGGTGACCAGATAACTGATTGTTGTCAAAATGCTCACTTCCTTATTCTGCTGTCCTTCCCTTATCTGGCCTACATGTAACTCCAGACGTGGTTGTCTCTTAATTACCCTGTTCCAGGGCTGTTAGGGACACGCAATAAATGCTGACCTGGGCAGACACCCCACGAACCAAACAAAGAAATAAATATGATTGTGGGGATGAAAAAGCCTGGATTCAGTTGAATTTAACTAAAGTACAGTCTCCTGACTGCGTGAACCGACACCAGATTAGCTTTTCGAAAAAACTGATGCAAAGACTCTCAGCCCCACTGGCTCTTTCCTGAACCTTGAATGTCCCTCACTATCCCGACCTCGATGCCTTGCTGAGTTCTGAATTTGAGGGGGCACCTGACATTGCACCTTTCTGGGGCACCCATAGAACAAAAAACATAGAGCAGTACAGCACAGTACAGGCCCACAGTGTTGTGCCAACCTGTTATCCTACTAAGATCAGACTACCCAGCATACCCTACATTATACTATCATAGCTGTCCTTCAGCTCTTGCTGCTTTGAACTGAATTGGTTCACTCGCCAAGTCTCTCCCCACCCACCCATTGAGGCGGCAGAGCCCAGCACTTTAGGGATAGAATCTGTGACCTGAATCTCACGGATCTGGAGGTAGGTCCCACTCCGGTGTCTGAACTCCAGAGGTTCCAGGTGAGCCTCCACTGCACTGCTGAGGGAGTGCTGCACTGTCGGAGGTCTCGACCACTCAGGGAGACATTTATGAACCGAGGCTCCTTGCTTTGCTGCCCGGGGTGGGGTCTGGGGTGTGAAAGGTCTCACTGGGTCGCTTTGAAGGAGAACACTGGAGCTCTCCCCCTTCCACGGACCAACACCGCGAGAATATGACGATCTGATCCTTGCGGAAGCTTGCTGTGCACTGATTCCTGGCACGTCGCTTACCCGGCAACAGCGACGTTAGGAGTCACTTTGAGGCATTCGGTGGTCACTTCTTCGGTAGCACTGGGAGGTTCGCCGTGTCACCTTGCATGGGATCTCTGGGAGATCTGGTTTCGAAGTTAACATTGGTATTCTGGTTGAGGGCTTCTGGGAAATGCTTTCTCCAGTTGGTGTTTATTGCCTCGTTGGCCTTGAGCAGTTTTTGTCAGTCTTTAGAGCGTAGAGAGTTTAAACACAGAGGCTTGGATTGGATACCAGCCACAGCCAACTACTGGTTTTCTAAGGCCGTATCAGTCCATCATTTGTTCCTCCCTTATCCTCTTCTGCACATCAGCCTTAGATGTGGCATAGGCCCCATGCAAAGCACAATACACAACAAAAGTCTTTCTTATTGTTAGATATAGTAGGGACTGCCGATGCTGGAGTCTGAGATAACAAGGTGTGGGTCTTGATGAACACTGCAGGCCAGGCAGCATCAGAGGAGCAGGAAAGCTGACGTTTAGGGTCTGGACCCTTCTTCAGAAAAATGAACCTTCAGGAAGATTATTCTGAAGACCTGAAACATCAGCTTTCCTGCTCCTCTGATGCTGCCTGGCCTGCTGTGTTCCCCCAGCTCTACACCTTGTTATCTCTTTCTTATTGTTCCTTTCTACCTTGATCTCTACACTGTTTTCCAGCAGTAACTTGGTGGTACAAAAGTTTAACGTTGCTTATCGAGGTAGGCTATCGAAGCCTTTAAGTCTCACCCGCATCACAACGGAAGTTCAAATTTCAGACAAAAAGCCGTGACTTCTTGTCTCTGGCAGTGGTGTTTTACTGAGAGATGCATTCAGTCACTCAGATGTGTTCAGCTTCATAACAGTGTGCCTGGCCATTGGCATCAACTCAAGCCCTGCAGCGGCTTCCAGACATTTGGGGGTTTGGGTGCAGTTCGGGAGGTAAACAGAAAATCTCAACATACCCGTCAACTTCCTGTAGCACTGGCGCAGGACAGAGCAAGTAGGTGTCTTCGACCACCAAAGGCTTTTTAGCTGCAAGAGACAGAGAGGGGGTGTGAGAAAAGAAATAGATGCAATTGAGGCCATTTTGGAAATTCACACACTCTAGCTGTTACACAAGCTATGCGCTAGCTATCTGGTGAAAATATTTTCGTCAGTGCCTCTCCACACAGGAGACTGTAACTGCTTTTGCTGCTCACTTCTTGTACTAAAAAAGACTCTCCACTCTCCTGCAGTTATTCATTGCATCCCTAAATGACCCTTTGCTCTGAACATATTGGCTGTAACGTTCCTAGTGAGAGATCGTTTAGGCAGCCCACTGGGGTTGGCTGCCTTCAGTTTGATTTTTCTTGCAGAATTTCATTTCTCCCTGGGGTCTGAACGTCCTCAGACCTCATCTAAATGATGCAATACGCTCTCCCACCATCACTGCCAACGAGTAACCTTAGCTGCTCGTCTTTGCTCAGAATGCCCAGGATCAGCTTTGCTCTGAAATTAGTGTCTCAAATTTCAAATTCTCATCTATGCCTTCATATTCCTCCATACCTACATCCCTCCCTATCTCAGTCACCTCCTTCAATCAGCCATCACCACTGCGCTCTTCCAATTCTTAGCCTCCTGCTGTGGAACTTCGTTTTTAATTGCCCCAACGTTGGAGGCTGTGCCTTGAGTTCACTGGTTCTAAGCTCGAAATATTCTCCCTAAACCTCTGTGTCTTTCCTTCCTCTTTGTGAAGAACGAATTATCCTCTTTGGTCAAGCTTTTAATCGACTCCTGAAATATCTCTTCATGTATCTCGGTTATGTTCCCGAGAAGCACTTTTTAGATGTTTGATTTTGCTTCAAGCACCAGTTAAATGTAAATTAATGTTGAACTTTTCCCTTCTGATCCCAATGTTGTTTTAAGACAGTCCCATTCCCTCCAGCAATTAATTTTCCGTTTCCTGCCACGCACACACACGAGTCATGAGTTTGCCCTCGGAGCTTCTGAGAGCCAGGAATTTATCTGTGGTCCTTTTCCAGATGCATCAATGCCCCTTTGGAGATGGGCTGGAGGTTAAGACGGCTACTTTGTGATCATGTTCCACGCTTTAGACAGCTCATACCAAAGTGCTGGTTCCACCTCTGTTCTGGGGGCACAGCTTACTCTGTTAGCATGGTGACGCTGCAAGATCATGTCCCGCATTACAATCCTGGGTGGTACTGCCAAAGGAGGTGCCAACAGCGCAGTCTGTTACCAGAAGGTCACAGCAATGGCCCTTTTTCATCTTCTGTGACCCAGATTGGAATTCAGCCAAAATGAAGACTTGAAAGAAGGCTCTCTCTCCCTGCCCACCGGGGTCCCCACATTAAATAAAGTTTCAATCTCACTCCTACTTGGTGTCAAGTTGGGCGTTCCTTTGGAATCGGGATGGAGTTCACAGCGTGGCTCGTGGGAGGAGTGGAAAATGAAAGCAGAGGAACAACTACTTGGCATCCAACTGAGCTGAGAACATCCGAGGCTGGTGAGAGGGTGTGGGGATCCCAGGTCATGTCGCATCCCTCGGAGCGTGTGCAAATATTCTGAGTTCGAGAGAACGTCAGCAGGAAAGCAGCTGAGGGTCCCTGCTTGTCTGAAAATGTCATTGGCTCAACTGTGTCTCACTGTGGCTGTTTAATGACACCTCCACCTCTTGTGATCTACTGAGCAGAATATCATCACTGGACAGTGATATCGCTCCACAGAGGCCGGTATCCCATCACCAAGTCACCCTTTATTTACAGGTGGAGAGTCCTTGACACTGATCCAGCTCCCTTAGAGCCAGCTCTCAGAGTGAACAGAACCCCTAACACCCCTGTTTCTCTCTGTCAGCCAGTGCTCCCTGATTGGGGCTGTTAATCTGGTCCAATCAGGGAACTCAGGTTCTATGACGTCCACCTGGCTGACCTCATCCTGATCACTCCAGATGGCATAACGCCCCCAATGTCACTACAAAGCAGGACAACTGCTTTTCATTGTCCCTTTTGGCTCTGGTCGTCAGGTTTGCTTTTTAAGCTTCCAGACCATTCTCCCCCAGAATTCCAATGTGATTCCATTGTTGGAGGAGTTTCTGGGAGAAAATGTTCACCTCATGGAAGGCTAATTTCGTTGGGATCTGAGTGAGAGTTCATTTCAGATTCTGCTGCGCTCTATGTCACTGCCTTCTTCATGCATTGAGTCTTGCATTTGGTTTGAAACATCGCAAGCCCCTCCCTCCAGTGAGGTGCAACGTTTTATTGGCCTTTCAACTCAAAGGTGAAGATCCAGCCCTCGATAGTCAAGGATGTCACCTGTGGGTGAGGGACCCTCTCCAGGATTCTCAGTGGGCCACTTGTAATTCATCAAGCCATGCTCCTTGTGAGTTGTCATCCCATTACCACAAGATTCCAGTCAAATATATATCCACGTATACAATTATCACCCTATCGTACATAAGATCCAACTCATCATCTATATCATCAAAATCACCACAGTCACCATATACATCACTATATATCATCAACATCACTATAGATATCACCACAATGACCCAGATATCATCAAAATCGCCACAGTCACCATATACATATAAACAACACACTATACATATCATCACAATGACCCGGGTATCATCAAGATCACCACAATCACCACATACTTCACCATAAATATCATCAACTTCATCATCTGCATTACATTTATAATATATATACACTCACATCATCACATATTGTCAGAATCACCCATAACATCCACACATACGATTGGAACCACGAGATATATCACCATAATCACTGAGTATATTGTCAAAATCACCACAATCACCATTTACATGATCATATCTTTCGTCAAAATAAACATGGAACTTCTCAAAGTCACAACGTAGTCAGCTATGAAGAGCCCCTGATAGCTCCCAGTGAACTTTGCATGTTATAACCCTCAACAAATCCAGCATACACGCATGCCCCAAGGCACATGCAGGAGTGTTATAAAAACATAATAAAATATGAGGCCGCATTAGGAGGTATTCAGTCAAACAGCAGTGCTTTCACAGTGGACAAAGTTGGAAAGGTTTAGAGAAGGAATTTCAGAGCTCAGGGCCCAGGCAACTGTAGTCGCAGCGGTGAATGATAGAACAAATAGGGGGCACTCAGGGGACTAGAATTAGAGATGCATAAGTGGAAGGATACCAAAACAAACATAGCTCCGTCAATGATACACACCATGAGTATCAGTGTAACCCCTTGAATTCCATAGCCTCTGGTTCAACTGGGATCAGCGCTGTTGCTGTTCTCCAATTGCAGTAGGGTCAGGAAGAGTTAAGGGGGCGGTGTTGCAGGAGTTGTTGGCAGGATAATGTCTGCATGCAGCAGATGGGTGCAGGATGGGATCAATGGTCACTGTCTGCTGTTGATGAAACCTGTCCAGTTGGCTGCCCTTGGGGGAAGGTGAAGGAGGGTGTTCTATCATCAGCACCTCCTCCTTCAGCCTTTGTCACTGGTCCTGTTCCATTTGGTCCCAAGCAACGGACCTGATCTGCCACAAATTCTTTTCCCTTTCACAACCATTAGCTCATTGCACCAGGAAGAGAAACTCCACACTCCCAACATGGCTGCTGTTTCGGAGTGTGTTTTGCAGGAGCCCATGTCACAGAGACACTAAGGAATTTCAGGATGAACACCTTCATTTCAGACAGAAAGACTGAAATGGTCAGGGTCAACTCCAGTCCAAAGGCAGTATCAGAGCACTGTGATTTTGAAAAGTTGCATGCATCAACGTGTAGGACCCAATCATTTAGAGGTGACAGGAATTTGCAGGTGCCACTGTACCTTTTCTTTAACTAAAAGCCACCATGGAGGCAGCCAAACTCTGCTGTGTCTCCATAGCAACACTCTGACCAGTCAGAATCCACCCGCCTGCCCTGAGACTGAAGACTGACAGTTAACTGCTCTTGCTGCCTCTTCATGCCAATGATAATCCAACCAACCAGCATCCTTTTCTCATGCCATGTGAAATGGCGTCTGTTTCTTCAATAAAAACCGTAAGAACTGCGGATGCTGTAAATCAGAAACAAAAACAGAAATTGCTGGAAAAGTTCAGCTGGTCTGGCAGCACCTGTGGAGAGAAAATCAGAGTCAACATTTCAGGTTGAATGGGTTCTGAGGAAGGGTCACTGGACCTGAAACGTTAACCCTGATTTCTCTCCACTCATGCTGCCAGACCTGCTGAGCTTTTCCAGCAATTTCTGTTTCTGTTTCGTTCTCCAAGTCTGTTTTTTGTATTTTATTTTTGATGAGTGCAAGCCCAAAAGCTGGTCTCCTTTAGGCAACGTTGAAGATTTTGCAAAGCCTCGACATTTTCTTGCACATTGTGTTTTTTTATTATTTGAATCAGAGGGGAGTAGACCAAAATCATCTTAAATCCTCCCCCCCACCCCAGTGCTGAAAGTAAAACCCCTGTCTGTTCAAATATCCTGAAGGTCATGCTGGATACTTACTGAGGGTCACTGTGTCATTAATTTTGAAGCTGCAGCGAACTTTGTCCACACTGCGCGCATGGGAAAATCCGTTCCCCTTCACGACAACCTGGAACGTTTCTGGAGAAGGGAAAATGCAGGTTAGAGAAGCCCCAGGTGAAACCAAATCGAGTCACATGATTACCAGTCAGTGCAGTGTCCAGCATCCCCACTAACCAGTGTTGCATTCAGTCCCCAGATCTGGTCAAAGTAGGGACGATGTTCTCTGAGCCTCGAACCTACCCTGGAACCCTTCGTATTGTTGCTGTTTGCCTCAGCAGCGTAGGGGACATCCATGCTGATGCCCCAGCTCAGGGATGTTCCAGAAACCAGAATCTCTGTGTGCTCAGCCATTTCACTCAAACCAACCCAAATGGGCAATTGCGTTGTGTATTCTTTGGAATCTACAGCCTGCCTGATAATCTCCTGTTGGAGTTGGTGGATTAAATTTCCTCAAACGTGGCAGATAGCCCGAGCTGTTTTCTATTCGAATTTCAAAAAGTTATAAATCCCTGATGGAAAGCATGCTTTTGGACCTCTTGTCTTCCAAAAGTTGTTCTCCCTTCTCTGTTTTCAATTGACTCATTACTCTCATCATATTAACAAAAGACAAGGAGTTGGAGTAAGATCCAGGTCCTGACATCATGACTAGTAATGTTCGCTTTGCATGAGGCGAGATCAAATATTCATGTATTTAACAGACTGGAATTTACTGTTACTGATTTGGAGCCTCAGTGTAACTGTGTCCCATCAGTTTTTAAGGCTCATGGGTCATGCATAAAGACGCTCTGCATTATACATCCAGCCATGTGAAAATAACCTCAAGGTTCCTACGGAAGAGAATGGATGGCAGGACAGTTTGAACAAAGTCTTCCCACAGTCGGAATAATGGTTGGAAAACTTTTGGATCACTTCCCTGGAGCAGAAGGGGACCATGCAAGAGAGACTGTTCGACAAGTCTCAAGCCCTCACTTGAACTGGGACGGTTATAAAATGGTCACTGCACACAGCGCAAATGTGAGACAAAATTCTCCGGACGGTCAGTGTCTTTGAGAGTCCACCTTCGATGGGAACACTCCACTGGAGTCCTGATTTTGTTAACGTCTCCCTCTCTGTAAGACCACCACCGTCCCCAACCCCTCCTTCCAGTGCCCTTGCTTCCTCCTGTCTGCCCTGGCTAACTGCAGCCCAATGCTTTGCATGTGTCACCGGAGGCTATCAGCCAGACTGGGTGAGGATGGCAGATTTCCTTCCCTGATGTACTTATATGAACCAGATAGCTTTTGAAACAAGATAATTAACAGTCACTATCGAGTCACCACTGGGCTAGGTTCTTATTCCAGACTTTTAATCAAACTTATTTTTCACCATCTACCATGGTGGGATTTGAACCCAAATCCCCAGGATAATTCATCCAGTGACATTACCACCATGCCACCTCCTCCCCAGTACCCAATAGCTTCCCAAGAATGCCTTGTAAACCTCTTCCTTTGCCCCACGTTGCCAACAGACGTAGAGTCATCTCTGGCAGATGATACTCACTTCCACCTCTCTGTATTGACAGACTATCTCCTGTCCACTTCTGGATGAGGCACAATTTGGATGGCACAGTGGCTCAGTGGTTAGAGCTGCTGCCTCACAGCACCAGGGACCTGGGTTTGATTCCACCCTCAGGCGACTGTCTGTGTGGAGTTTGCACATTCTCCCCGTGTCTGCGTGGGTTTCCTCCCACAGTCCAAAGATGTACAGGTTAGGGTGGATTGGCCATGCTAAATTGCCTGTAGTGTTCAGGGGTGTGTAGATTACGTGGGTTCTAGGGCTATGGGCCTGGGTGGGAAGCTTCATGGGTTGGTGTGGACTTGTTGGGCTGAAAGGCCTGTTTCCACACTGTAGGGATTCTATGAATTTCCTCCTGAACTAGGAGCACCAAAAGCCATCTTCCTCAGTCTGCATACAAGCTCAGAACTCCAGCTTTTACCTGGCTTGAGGACCAAGTCACCGAGTCCGAGCTGGACTCCCACATCCATATCCTTTCATTATTCCAACCACCAACCTCCGCCTTTGCGTCATCTCCTGCCTCCTGCCCCTGCTTCACCAGTTTGTTGCTGAAATACCTGACTATTTCCCGGTTTTGCCCCTATTCCACTGCTCCATGATATAATATCCGTTAGGTCTGCTGTCCCAACCCTATTCCACACCATCTCCTCCTCATCCTACTTTTACTCCCTGTCTTCATTAACCAAGACAGACACCCAGTGTCCAACACAGAATCAATATTCTCCTCCTTGCATTGCAGCGCATGCCTGACCTTCTTCCTGCCTGTCTCAGAAGCCTCCAAACTTGCCTCCTCCAAACTCTCGATCCCTTTTACCTCCTCTAAACTGTCCTCTTTTCCCTCAGTGTCGGTGATGTGCTTTCTGTTGACATGGTCCGTACAAAGGTCCATAAAACATACATAAAACATACATGGTCCATAAACTCCTCGCTCTCTCGACAACTCTATCCTCCTCCAAGGTCTTCCGTCAGACACTTATTGGACCAAGCTTTTGGTTCACCCTCCAACGATCACGTTTGGCAAATAACTTGAGATCCCTTTTCATTCTGAGGACTCGGTTAAGTTCCTCAGATGTTTGTATACCTTGAAGACCCTGTGTGAATTTTTCACTTGTTACTGCAGGAGCGGTGGGCTGGCCCAGCTGTCATTGTCTGGGTGAGATCTCAGATTAGAGATCAGTCTGTTCTAGTGGGTGGGTTTGGAAAGACCTGAAAGAGTTCTTTTGCATTGTTGTTCACTCAGCTTGGTCACTCCAGAACCAGGGGACACAGCCTCACACTCAGTGATCTGAGATGAGCAACAATTTCTTCACTCATGAGGGGCTAAATCTTTGGAACTGTCTACCTCTATTGGAGTGTGGAAGCTCAAGTCAGTTCAGGATATAGATCAGTGGATTTCTTGATATCAATGACATCAAGGGATATAGGAATAGTGGGGAGCAATAGCAATCAGCCACGATCTAAAATCTCAAGCAGGATAGCATAGCTGAATGCTCTGCTGTTATCCCTGTGTTCCTGTCCTGAGTCACCTCCTGAAAGGTGAAGAAAGTTCTCAGCACAGCCTGGCCAACATTTGCCCCTCAAACTGAATTGTAGGGGGAAAAAAAGACGCATGGACTGTTGGTCAATGTCACTGCTCCCTGGGGTTCGATGCTCTGTACAAAGGAATCACCACTGGGCTCGATGTGAACTACTAGGACTGCACTGTGGGATGTGATTCAGGGCCAGACAAATCCAAATTCCTTTCTCGTCCTTCTGAGATTAAACCCTGAGGATCCTGGAAGTGAATCCTGCAACATTTCTCTGCTTTTCCTGGAGCGGGGAATTGGATGAGGAAAACACTGGGGGTTCAGCCAGACTGCCTCAGGATCCCTCAGTTGGAGGGGTCTCATGTCCTTTGGCGAGTACTGCTTGGAAACCAGGCAGCGTTCCTGTCGGATCCAGCTCCTTTGTTTTCGTCTCACGCATGAATGGTGACCACACACTGAGAAAGGCTCTGCTCACTGTGGTCCCCTGTCAACACTTCCCAGTATCATAGCACAGGAACAGCACAATTCCTTCACCTGGGGAGAGCCTCATCCTGCATTTCCTTCTTCACACTGGGATCTCTCAAACAGGAGCAAGAATTGCTTTGTGAACTTTAATAAAACCAGCGTTCCCCCTTCCCGATTTCGTAGCTGTTTACTTCAAGAGTGTTTACCAAAGAGCCTGGGCTCGTTCAGTTTGATCTGTGATAACAAGGTGTAGAGCTGGATGAACACAGCAGGCCAAGCAGCATCAGAGGAGCAGGAAGGCTGACGTTTGATCTGTATTTCTTTGATCTTTCGGACTGATCTTGACACCAAGCCATAGTGTCATACAATCGTACAGCATAGAAATAACCCTTCCATTCAACCAGTCCGTACTGACCATAATCCCAAACTAAACTAGTCCCACCTGCCTGCACCTGGCCCATATCCCTCTCAACTTTTCCTGTTCATGAACTTATCCAAATGTCTTTTAAATGTTAATACTGTACCTGCATCCACTACCTTCTCAGGAAGTTCATTCCACACGCAAATGACTCTCTGTATAAAAATAAATTGCCCCCATTTTTTTTTTCAAATTTTTCTCCTCTCACCTCCTAGTTTCGAAATACCCCACCCTAGGGAAAATTCACCTGCCATACACTTCATCTGTACACCTGATGATTTTTATAAACCTCAACAAGGTCACCTCCTCAGCCTCCTAAACTCCAGTGTAAAAGGTCCCAGCCGATCTTGCCACAGGGGGTGTAAGGACCAAAGGGGTGGGTTTTAAATGGGGTCTTAACCAGGGAGTTCAGAGGCTGAGACATTGATGGAGGAACTCCCAGAGGAAGAGACAGCCAGAGGCGATGGACTAACTCAATTGGAGAAGTGCAGAGATCTCAGAGGGTTGGGAGTGTGATGGGAAAGGCTCCAGAGGTGGGAAGGGGACAAGGGGTGCCAAGGGATTTGCTAAAAAAGGGTGGGATTTTATCAGCTGAAACGTTTCTTGACCGGGAACCAGCGTAGATCTTGAGCAAGGCCAGGGGCAAAGGGGGCAGGAGATGTTGAGGATGAGGGTTGGCGTTAGGTGTTCGAGGCAGTGAGAATAAATGGGAAGGCCTTGGTTGAACACTGAGCATGTGTTCACTCACTACCATTTAAGTACTGCACTCAGTTCTCGAGAAAATCTGACCATGCCAAGAATGCACTGCCATGAGCATGTTTCACAGTAAATCCCAAGACTCCAGTTGGACATGCTCCATTTCATACATCACCAGAATATGAATCAATGCTAGGCTTGGCCTCAGCTCTCTGTAACTTGGCTACAACGCCAACCAAGGTTATGTCGGTGAGTGACTAGTCAAGGGGAGACTCCCTTCCTGGGCAGGTTATATACCAGCTTTTGGACAGCTCAGCAGGATTGGAAGCGACGCACCAATGTGAGGAGCATGATCCCGTGAGCTGATGTGCCCGACAGCCGTTCTTGGGATCCTGCAGTGCACTCCACTGGGAGCTGAGGAACTCCTCATTTTACTGCTGGCCTTACTCGGCTGTGGGACCGCAGTCATTTCCCGGCTCAGAGTGGGAAGGGGCTAGGAGATCCGGGTCACCCAGAACGCCGACGCTTACTCACACCAATGCACGTGCGCCCCTGTCACCCCTGTGCTCACTCCAGCTTCACCAACACCTCAATTATAAAATCTCGTTCACACTGACAAAGCCTTCCATAACGTCACCCTTCCCTGTCTCCAGAACTATCTCCACCTTCTCAAGACTCCAGGATATCTGCGCTCATTGGCCTCTTACATCTCCCAGTAGTCCACCATCAGTGCACGAGCCTTCGGCTCCCTTGGCTGTAGAATACCCTGCATCCATCTCTCCGCTATGGCCCCCACCTCACTCTCCTACCTGAAGGCACGCCTCAAAAAACCTACCTCTGATGGCGGACCATGACATCCCCTTCTCACTAGCTCACTGCAATACCACTGCTTGACCACGCTCCAGCGGAGGGGCCTGAGGCCCACTGGCTCTGACGTTGGAGGCAGCTACGTCAATGCAAGTCCATGTTTGATTCGACCTTTGACAGAGCCGTGGGGGGGGTGGTGGTGGCGGCGCAGCTCGTCAGAATGCCCAGCGAATGTGGAATGTGCGAACGGTTGCCTGTTGACATTCGCACCTCAATCACGAAGTGAGCAGGGCCAAACCCCACCCCTTTGAGTCCGTACTGGATCTTTCAGAAAACCGTCTATCCTGTCTTCTTTTCCCTTCTCCCACCCCCCTCCCCTCACTTTCTCTTGCATGGAATTTCTGCTGTTCCTGCAGAATGGAAACTTTCTGATGGAATGAAACTGCATGAAGGGAGGAAATAAACTGACATGCGTGCTTTTGCTGGAATGGGTTCATTCTGGAATGGATTGAGAAAGGATAAATATTCAATGCGTTTGGAGTTGGCTGCAAATCCTTACCTCCAGCACAGATGCTTGATGGCTCAGCAGCTAGAATCTCAATGCAGGATTTCTTCAAGATCTATTCGCCAGGGAGAAAGAAACAGCAATTAGCAATCCAGCAATGCTTTCCAGTGTTTTGCCAGAACTGGGAAGGTGCAATTATTCCTAAACATTAACATGTGACTGACCAAACAATGGCACATCTTTCTGTCGGAAAAGAATTCTCCAGGATGGTAGGGTTCCAAAATGTGAAGGACGAGGCAGTGTTCAAGACACGAAATTGCTGATTGTCCAAGTAAACATTGAGGAATTTCAGACAAGGGGAGATCAAGTGGATGACAGATTTACTGGCACAAGTGCAGGCCATTCAGCCCCTCGACTGAATTCACCCAAGATAGTGTACGATCTGTGTGTGACCTCAATCCTTTCTCACCAGTCTCGGTTCCACATCCTTCAGACATAAAGTCACAGAGGTACACAGTGCAGAAACAGGCCCTTCAGCCCAACTCGTCCATGCTGACCCAGTTTCCTAAGCTGAACTAGTCCCATTTTCCTGTGTTTAGCCTCTAAACCTTTCCCATCCATGTACCTGCACAAATGCTTCTCAAATGTTCTAACTGTCCCACCTTCGCACCTCCCTGACAGCCCATTCCATATATGCACCATCCCCTGCGTGAAAAACCCACCCCTCATGTTCCCTTCAAATCTTACCCCTCTCACCTGAAACCCATGCCCTCTAGCCTTGGACTTCCCTACCCTGGGGAAAAGACCCTGGCCACTCACCTTATCCATGCCCCCACCCGCTACAATTCTACAGAATCACAGAGATGTTACACTGAACCAGGAGGCTACTCAGCCCATTGTGTCTCCACCTACTGTCCAAATGAGCACCTCGACTGAGTGCCATTGTCAGCCCTTTTCCCCACAACCCTGCACATTTAGTTAATCAGTCCATGCCCCCATCTTGAACCTGCCTGCATCGCATTTCCAGGCAGTGCATTACAAACTCTAACACATTGCTGAATCAAAACCTTTTCTTTGTCACCCCGCACCCGCTTCTTTTGCAAAATGTTTTCAACCTGTTGCCACCTCATTCCCAATTCTTTAACAGGCTGGAGCAATTTCTCTCTGTTGGTTCTGCCCAGTCCCCCTCTTAGTGTTCTCCTCTCCAAGGTCCCATTGCTCCAATTTATCCAACTATCCGATCCCTGGAATGATTCTTCCCTGGTCTTGTGGAAAATGAATGGTCTGAGGTTAGAGACGCTTCTTTTGACACCAAGTCACCTAATCATGAGGGGTGTGGATAGAGTAAATAGCCAAGGTCTTTTCCCCAGGGTAGGGGAGTCCAAAACCAGAGGATGTAGGTTCAAGGTGAGAGAGGAAAGATTTGAAAGGGCCTAAGGGGCAACGTTTTCACACAGAGGGTGGTGCGTGTATGGAATGAGCTGCCAGAGGAAGTGGTGGAGGCTGGTACAATTACAACATTTAAAAGCCATCTGGATGGGTACATGAATAGGAAGGCGTTTAGAGGGATATGGGCCAAATGCTGGCAAATGGGACTAGATTAATTTAGGACATCTGGTTGGCATGGACAAGTTGGACCAAAGGGTTTGTTTCTGTTCCGTACAGCTCTATGACTCAATGTCTCCTGAGTGGTCTGATACCAATGTGAAGACTATCCCACCTTGTCTGAAATCTCTCCACCAGAACAAAGTGTTTCACTCTATACCCCACAATCAATGCCGAACAAAATCCCAAATGCCTCACTCAACTCTGTACAGCTTACAGCTTCGGTCCCCTCAACTAAGCAAGGATGTAATTGTATTGGAGTTAGTTCAAAGAAAGTTGACTCCAGATTAACTCCAGAGATTAAAGGTTCCTCTTACGAAGACAAATTGAGCAGTTCAGGCCGATACATTAGAGTTGCGAAGGATGAGTGGAGATCTAACTGAGATATGTCTGAATATAAAGGAGAAACACACAGAATGACCAGGGGTCACTCAGGCCCTGTGATACAGAATGGCCAGGGGTCACTCAGACCCTGTGATATTGAATGGCC